AGCTTTCAAGTTTAGAATACACTAGAAATTCATTTGCATAGAGTTCTCTCTTGGTGGTAGTGTAGTCCAGGCACTAGTTCAGTTCGCCAGAGTGGTTTCTGGGTGCTTGGAAGCTACTGGTTTTACCGCTGTATCTTGAAAAATGGACGCTCGTTTTAAACCTCAAGCACGGACGGTGAGGGGGCGAATCTGTTTTAAGGAAACTGTGTGTAACACAGGCCTAGGGTTAAAATTCTAAGTTTCCGTTGTTTAATTCATGCAATTTTTCGTATTAAATTTACAGTACATGCTTCATGAATTTATGATATATTGTTTGTATGCTTCATGAATTTTAAATTCTATTGGAACAAAAGTTATTTGTTGGAAATAAAACTTTCAATGATCTGGTAAAAATTCAACATACGGTTGTTTGAAATTTGTTGATTTGCATAGTTGCAAAATTGCAAGGCTTTGTCAAAAAGACCTAAACTGTCTAAGAAGAGTTTGGGATTTAAGCAGTCGGGTTGTGACCCCCCTCCTCATCTGGAAGTCTTTTAATTGCGCATTATTCAAATTGACGAGACGAAATACAACATTTTCCGATTTTATCCACATAAACTGAATTTCCTACAATAAACACTCTCATTTTTATTGTTTCAGTTAAGGTCACGATAATAGAAATTGAACTAAATCAATCATTGTGGAAAGATATTGGGACTTAATCCACTTTTTTACTGATTAACGAATTGTACACTTGTGGTGATTTTACATCAAAATATATTTTCGTGAACACTACTTTTCATCCAGTTTTGAAAATCAAATTTAGGGTCTTTTGTTTGTTGTAGCTCTGATTTGGGAAGAAGGTAAAATTTTTCCATTTTGTTTTCATTTTGTTATTTAATGTGGTAAATATGAGAGTACCATTTAACTCTCATTGAAATTGATTATAATTTATTCTAAGTTAAATTTTTGGTCAACAAATGAAATTGTGGATGAAAATCGTCCAAAAGGGCTTACCTACAATGTTTGAAAATATTAGGCCTGACCGCTACAACAAATCAAAAGTTTGGGTAAAGTTTGCTATTATTTTGACGGTTTAGGACTTTTGCAGCAATTATTCCTTTCTTATATCTTAAACTTTTTGATAACGTATTTATTTAATTCGATATCAAGATCTTATAGAAGAATAAATTCGTCTAAGAGCACTAACCACCAAAAAATTCGTACATCCACTTCAATATTACGTCGAGGATGTAGAAATATCATGCATAATGATTGTCGATTCAAGATTTGCCAAATCATTGCCAAACCTCAATAAAGTAAACTATTAATTCATAAATTGAGGTACAAAGCAATGAATATTGCATTGGCTACCATAAATTAAATTCAAGCTCTCTCTAATGGCACTTCATGATTCAATCCTGAATCCCTCTAATTCCTAGAAAACATTCCCTAATTACTCATTTTTGGCACTAAGAGCATTTTCAAAAGACTCTCTATTTTTAAAGAATATATTTTATAATTTAGAGAAACTATAAATTTAAATAGGAAAAAATCTTAAATACTCCAACCTTTTTATCTTAAACCTTGAGGGGTAGTTTAGTGGTCAAACCTTGTGTTTACTCCTCAATGGTCAACAGTTCGAGTCCCCTCAGGACCACCAATATGAGTACCTAAATATAATTTTCAGAACTCCATGAGATTAGTTGAAGTGGGCATAAATTATCCCGGACACCCACAGTCATAAAAAACAACCTTTTTATCTTAGACACTTAATTTGGAGAGTCAAACTTGTTGGGTTTATGACCCAAATTAGGAAAAAAACGTTTTCTTATTTTCATGTGATTTTATTAAAAATACATTATTTCCTTATTTCACATTATTTATATCTTTATAGTATAGTATGTACCTATAAATAGTGGCCTTTTCTTTTAGTTTAGTTCAAGCCAAAATTGCTGTTTTATAATTTTCTCTTCATATCGTCGTTATAATAAAGCATTGTTTCATCTACTTAACTCTCTTTGATTTCTTTACTTTAAATCTTGTTTCATCTTTGTGATCTTTTTACATATTTTATACGTCATTAATCTCAATCCTTACATCACCTTTGGGATCAACAAGTGGTATCAAAGCTTGGTTCTTTACGGATTTTTTGAGGTTTTTCAAAGATAGCTGCCATGAAGTATGATATTTCGTTGCTAGGTCGCAATACGAAGTTTTCTCTGTGGCAAGTAAAAATAAAGATTATTTTGATGCAGTTGGATTTGGATGATACATTGCTCGGTTTTGACAAGAAGCCAGTTGAATAGTCAACGAAGGAAAAACAATGAAAGGATAGGAAAGCTTTATCGCAGATTCATCTTCATTTATCCAATAATATTTTGCAGAACATCTTAAATGAGAAAATGGCGGCTGCTTTGTGATTGAAACTGGAGAAATTGTGCATGACTAAAAGTCTCACTAGTAAACTAACTCTAAAGCAAAAGTTATATTCCCATCACATGTTGGAAGGAGGATCACTGGAAGATCACCTTGCTGTGGTCAAGGAAATTCTCGCAGATTTAGAGACATACAAGATTAAGTATGAAGAGAGGCATCTGGCCTTGATCCTATTGTGTTCGCTGCCCACTTCAGATTTCGGGACATGATATTGTACAGTCGTGATACGCTGACTATTGAAGATGTTTATGATGCTCTATTCTCAAAGGAGAAGATGAAGCATCTGGTTGGAGCTACATTGAGGGATGATGAAGTTCCTATATCTCATGGTGATCGATGGAGGGGGCATATCGAAGAAAGTCAACTTCAGCAATTTGTATTGCTTTTACTGCAGAAGGAGGGGACACATTAAGAAGGATTGTGACAAGTTGCAGGCTAAATATAATTTAGCTGCAAATCATAGGAAGCAATCATTCAATTCGGATAAGACTAATGTTATAGAGGATTTTTCTGATGGATGTGATGTGATGTTGACCGTAGTATTTGACGTAGAGTCTAAGCTTGATGAGGAGTGGATTCTTGATTCGACATGTTCACACCATATGTGTTTCAATCAAAATTTATTTCAAACATATGAGGCTGTCAAGTAAGGTGGAGTTGTCATGTGAACCAATCAGTCTTGCCGTATTGTTAGAATCGATCGAGTTAGATTAAGTTTGCAGGATGGGACAATTAGAATAATTGATCAGGTTCGACATATTCCAAACCTGAAAAGGAATATCATCTTGTTGAGTACCCTGGATTCAAAAGGGTATAATTTCTCTGGTAGAGGTAGAGTCTTGAAGGTCTGAAAGGATGTCCGAGTTGTACTGAAGGGAAGAAAAAAGTGTCAACTATACATCTTGTAGGGGAACGCAGAACCAGTTAAGAGACAATTGGACAAATTCAGTACCATAGTCGAAATTCAGTTTGGTACAATACATTTTGTGACTAACTCTAGGTCGGGTCAGAACATTGCTGAAGGGAGCATTGGTGGTTCTGCTTTGCTACCAATTTCAGTAGATACACTGTGTTCAGTTGCTAGGGTTGGACTCATTGAGCGTAGGTACGATGGTGTCTGTAATGCTTTCGAGATCGTTGAAAGCGAAAGTTCTAGTAAGGGGCCTTCTAATCAGGCATTTGGTGTGGTTTCTGCTGTAGGGTGTGCTTCGACCCTGTTTGATCAACAATAATTCTTTGGGTGAAATTTTGGGAACCTAGGAGTTGGGTTCGGGTGTCGCTTGTGGACACCGGATAGAGAAATATGTTTTTTTTGTGATGGAGAGTTTTGGTTACTATTTTGAAGAGTTCGGTTATTTCGATGTACTTGGACATATTTTTCCAGGTGGAGAAATTTAGGAGCTTCGTTCGTTATACCGAAATTTGGGTCAAGATAGAGATTGTTGGCTTTATGATCCAAATTAAGAAAAAATTGTTTTCTTATTTTCACGTGATTTTATTAGAAATATATTATTTTCTTATTTCACATTATTTTCATCTTTATGGTTTGGTATGCACCTATAGATAGTAGCTTCTTCTTTCAGTTTAGTTCAAACCAAAATTGTTATGTTGTAATTTTCTCTTCATATCGTCATTATAATGAAAATATCATTTCCTCTGCTTAACTCTCTTTGATTTCTTTACTTTAAATCTTATTTCATCTTTGTGATTTTATTACATATTTCATACAACGACATTAATCTCAATCCTGACGTCGCCTTTGGAATCAACAAAACTTACACTCTATTTTAAATAGTTAATTCGAAGAGTCTCTTAAAACATAATATTAAAAATTGACTCTCTAAGATAGAGAATATTTCACTTGTAAAGAGTTTCTTCATGATGTTCTAATTCAATATACCCTCACATAGAAGATGAGAATCCCAATAGGTATCATCTCTCTTCGTTTTTTTTTTAAATAAAAAAAAATAAAAAGATACCTTGTCGGCGGAGTATTCATTAATGCTTGAAAGAACTAAAGCAGAAAATACAAAACTTCAGGAGATATTAAACTCTTGAGGCACCTCAAGACTAAAATTTTGATGTCGACTACATACTATTAAACAAGAATTAGACGAGCTTAGCTTGGAACTGGGAAGAAATGCACTAGAAAAAAAACATATACAGATTCATTACACATTCTTTTAAGGAAAAATGAAATATCAATGTTTAAGGTAGAAGTCAGTGGGGAATTAATCAAATTAATTAGCAAAGGGACTACTGTCAAAAGCACAAGACAATGAATATGAAAATTAATCAAGACAACAAACATCTGGGAACTTAGAAGATAAGAATGAATACTCCTATTCAGCTGACAGTAATCAGAAGATATTATTTTCTGAATGATTCATCCCTTTCCATTAAGCAGATTATCATATTACTACGAACTGCTGACGAGATTGATAAAGAATACAATCAAACCAGACTCGAGCTTATAGTCTACTGAGAGAGTTTGTGGCAGCACTCATCACTCTTCCTCCATGTGTAATCTACTACACCTAGCTATTTATCTACACAAGCGGAGAGAGAGTAGAGAGAGAAACCTGGAGCTGGCAAACTCAAAGAGCTTCCCTGTGGAGGAGAAGATGATGAGAGCAACATCAGCATCACAAAGAACTGAGAGTTCTTTGGCTTTCTTTAAGAGTCCTTTTCTTCTTTTGGAAAAAGTAACCTGCCGGGCCGAGGTGTTGTCGATTTTCTTGATCTGAATCTTCTCTCTTGCCATATTTATACTTTACCCCAACAATATAAATAGCCCACCTCTCAAGAACAAACAACAAATCAGCCCAACAAAGCAAAATATTTTATAGTATTTGTAGTAACAAAGTTAATAGGGGTTTCTAGATGTCGGCTTAATAGTGGTTCATTTTCTTGGAGAAAAGCGGCATGTTTCCATATATAAAGGAGAATAAACAAGAGAACAAAACCCTAATGAGAAAAAAGTACTAAAAGCTAAAGAAAGAAAGGGCTGCTCTATTTGGGCATTGTTTTACTGAGATTCCGATTATGAGTGAGAGACAGATGGAGTCTACGAATCAGAAGGTAGGTATAAGGAAGGAGAAAAGGAGGTAGGGGTGCAAGAGAAATTATTGAATTCTCACCAATTTTGGGGTTGGTTGATTGATGTGGCGTTTTGCGTTGGTTCTGCTGCTGCTGGACTTTATTGGCTTCTATGTGGATAAAATACTGTTTCCTTTGTCCAACAGAGAAACTTGCAGGCTCAGTCTCCAATTATTGTTCAGATGGTCAGCCCTTGGTACACATTTTCTAAATTTTTTTTTTTTTAAAATTCACTTTCATTGCATATTCTTTTAATAAACGATTAAAGGTGATGGTTAAAATATTAGAACTCAGTATTTTACCATCGTTTATCACCTTTAATCTCACCTCTCAAGCCCAGTTCCTAAAATTGTATTCAATCGAATTCACTAATTAAATCAGTATATATTTCTCGAGATCAGATGAATTCTATTAAGTCTACTTACTATCTATATGAATTTGAATAAATCTTAATTAAACTCATTAACCACCTAGGACTTCAACTAAAGATCGCAATAATAGTAAAAATGCATTTCCACATTTTACCCCATGGCCGATTTGTATTACGTGATCTAAATTTAAAAATCTCCTCAAGATTTGGTACAATTCACAAATCAGGAAATAGTGATCAAGTAGTTTAAGCACTAATAACATAAGTAAAATTAATATATAAATCAATTAAATGCATTGAAATTTAACGTTCAAATATAAATTACATCGTTTATCCTAATTAATGATTTAACTACTCATCATAAAGAAGAAAAATACAAGAAAGTATTATAATATATCACCGAATTTAAACGAAAAAGAGAGAAAAATGAATATCTTGCACTAAAATCTAAGAATCTATATTCTTCACATTGAAATCTTAAAACACTGTCCCTTAATTGTCTCCTCTTCCCTTTTTCCTAATTTGACAAACAATAGGTCTTTATACAGTGGAGTTAATTGTTCCAATGGTCACTTAACTTATGTTAATGTCTTTGATTGGCCATTGAAGTTTAAAATGTTGAGTTTTGGCCACTAAACTTTAAAAAATGTCAAATTTTGGTCACTAGACTTAAGTCAATGTCTTCAATTACTCACTAAATTTAGGCTCATATCTTAAATTGCTCAATGAAGTTTAAAATGTCAACTTTTGGCCGCTGAACATTAGAATATGTCGTACGTTACTCACTAGCATAACTGTTGAACTTTGAAAAATATCGAGTTTACAGTGAATAATGTATAACATTTTTCAAAGTTCAGTGAGTAATTTACAATATTTTTGAAAGTTCAATTGTCAAAACTCGACGTTTTAAACTTCAGTGAGTAATCAAAGACATGAACCTAAGTTCAGTGACCAAAACTCTATATTTTTCAAAGTTCAGTGGTCAAAACTAGACATTTTAAATTTCAGTGGTTAATCAAAGACATGGACCAAAGTTCAACAACCATTGGAACAATTAACTCTATATAGTGTCTAAATTGCCTTGAAAGTTGTGTACACAAAAGTACCAAAATACTCGACTAAAACAACTTAAGTATTTTATGCTCTAGTAGGATTGCAGGTCAATGATAATTTGCATACTACGACCATGTACTTAGCTGATAGACTACGGTTTACAAAATGAGGTCACCAGCACTCCTTTTTCCTTCTCTCTCTCTCTCTCTCTCCATTCTAGCACATGCTTCAAGTTTCTTGTATGATTTTGGTCCTTTGTAGTTCAAGTCTTCGATTTTGATTCCACTACTCCCAAAAGCTTTCATGTTGGTCTTTGAATCTCCATAGTCATCCAAGAATAGTTCTCCTCAAGTTACATAAGGATGCAAATCAGTATCCAAACTTCCTATAAGTTGCCTTTCACCTTGAAAATCAATGAATTTCCTCTAGTTGCTCTTTAATGCTTTACATCAGTCATGTGCCATCATATTAGTCTTCAATTGCTTCAAACTACAATTAAACTCAAAATGTTCTTTGTTTCTTGAAGTACCTCTAAAGCTAGTTATAACTATGACGACAATATTTACACTAAATTAAGTAGAAATAAGCTCAACTTGCAAATATATATATCAAGTTTATAAGTCAAAAAAGTGTATAATACACGATTATCAAACATTCCTAAACTTAGGCTTTATTTGAGCCTCATTTTTAGGATATTAGATTTTGTAATAATGATTTTTTGGAGAATATGTTGTTTAAAAATAAAAATAAAATTCGAGTTTACATTTAAAATTATTTTATTGGGAGAATGTATAATTAAAAGTGAGTTTGAAAAAAAAAAGTTTTGAAAGAATGGAGCTCAAACAATTGCTTATTCGTCCTAAGCGAGATTATCTATTCAAACACAAACAAGTAAATATAACAATAAATTCATTAGATAGCTTGTCATATTTGACTCAGCTTTTGAAACTGCTAAAATAATTCATATAACTTTTGTAGACCAAAAATATTTTCCTACTTTTTAACCATTCATTCTCCAAAAAAATCACGATTGTAAAAATCATTTTTTTCAAAAAAATGGGTCTGAAACAAAGCCTTAATTAACTCGATAATTTCATATCGTCAATTTGTCACATTTGATTTTCATTGAACATGTGGCAATTTTTGTTGAATGGGATTAACGGATTTCATTCTAAGGATAGATGAGTACTCATTTGAAAATATGAGTGAGTAATGGATAATCTTTTTTTTTTTTTTTTTTTGTTTGATGAGCAAGTAGTAACATAGGGATAAATTTTATGATCTAATCTATAGTATGTCCATGCATATTGCACCGTTTGCTTTTTAAGTGTTTTTGTTATTTCAGTCCAAAATATCTCCTATAGTTGCTTTTTGGAAGAAAAGTCCAACAAGAGGCATTATTGTCTATACTCTCCCCCCCCCCATCGACTAACAATAATTTCTCTTCTTCTCTCTCGATCGCTGAAAGAAATATGAAGGAATTGAGACATATATATGTAAGTATAATTATCATGCTTTCAATTTTTTCCTTTAGTGTATATTTCTTTTAAATTTTTGAGTTGTAGTGCAAGAATTAAAAGCAATTGGTGGCGGGTTACTGTTTGGATTAAGTTTTTATGTGTTCTTTTTAAAGAGGATAGAGTGACCCATCGAGATGCAAGCGGCTATGAGCTATAATTTTCAATCTTTAGAAAACTAAAATAGCAAATTAAATGCACCCTTGATCCAATAAACTCTTCAATAAAATGTAAAAACAAAAACAAAAATCCTGTCAAATGAACTTTTAATTTTATCAAATCAGATTAAACGATAAAAATTATTCATATTGGAATACTGATGAGGAACTATCTAAAGGAAAAATGATTATGGAGTTATATTAGTGGAACTGTTGTGAAACTCAAGAACACTGCTGAAAATTATGTGACAGAGTTAGATAATTGGGAGCCAAATAAGGGCTAAATTCTCGCTTGAATTCATAATTCTGTCGAACAATTCATTGGTACACAATCGATGAAATTTGAAATAGCAAAGGGAGTTTGGAATCACTTTCAAAGTTACACATTAAGTCGAACTTTGCAAAACATTATCAGTTGGAGATTAATATACGGGCTTTACAATAGAAGAATACGAGTATTCTCGAGTTTTACGCTACAATGAACTTAATTTGGGATGAATTGGCTCTTACATAATTAGTGGGACTGAAAGCATGTGAGGAGTTTATTACTTTTAGAGAGGATCGACGATTAGTTCAGTTTTTTATGGCACTTCGCAGTTATTTTGAGGGGCTTAGAGGCTCTATCTTGTATCGCACTCCACTTTTCTCAGTTGATTCGGTGGTTAGTGAACTTGTAGCTAAAGAAACACGTTTGAAATCTTTTGCAGGAGAAGTATCTCTTCTTACATCTAGCACCTCAATGTTGGTTGTACCTTCTTGATCGTCTACACAGAATCAAAACAAATGTTATGTGTGAGTTGCTAGTGATGAGTGTAAGATTTGCAAACAAAAAGGACATTGGAAGTCTCAATGTCCTAAACTATTGAAGAAGTAACAACTACAAACACAGTAGCGATCCTATCATCCCAATGCTAACATAGCTGCCACCATGTCATCTAGTGACTCATCTATACTTGGAGCACTACCTTCTCCCAATCCCATGTTAATTGATTTAGCAAAGCAATTTCAAAAATTTTTAGCCTTACAGCCACATGTTATATCAGCCTCTATTAATATAGATTTGTTATCTCAGAGTCACTAAGGTATTTCTTCCTCATGAATATTTGACTCCGATTCATCTAAACACATGTCGTCTAATTCAATTTTTTTTAATGACTTGCGTCCTTCTAGCTCGTCTATGTTTGTTATGATTGCTGATGGCACAACATTGCCTTTAGTGGGTTTTGGTTTTGTTAACACACATAATTTATCGCTTTCAGAAGTCTATTGTTCTTTAGCTCTTACATTGAATCTTATTTCTATTAGCCAATTGTGTGATTCTAGATATTGAGTTTAGTTTTCTTCTACTACTTGTCATGTGCAGGATCCTCGATCTTTGAAACTTATTGTGATAGGCCGTAGACAAAGAGGGTTATTTGCTCTAGACAATCTAAGACTACTCTAAGTTGCATCGTTTGGTGTTGACTTGTGATCTTTTATCACTAATTCATCATCTTCTAATTTTTCTTTGTGAATTTCTTTCCTTGGACACATCTTGGTTAGTCGTTTGAAAATTTTTAGTTTTTAAAGGTCAATTGGGAGATTTGCAAACTCATGACATTTCTTATTATATTGGTTGCAAATTAGCTAAATTTTTTTGCTTTACCTTTTCCTCGAAGTGTTTTTCATGCTATTGTAACATTTGATCTTGTTCATTCTGATGTGTGAGGACATATTTCTTTTACTACAAAATGAGGGTATAGATATTATGTATTTTTTTATTGATGGTTATAGTTTTTATTGTTGGGTTTATCTTATGAAACTACGTTTTTGAATTTCTTTCTATTTATTGTTCTTTTATAGAACTTATTAAAACTCATATTCTACAGTAATTAACAGCTTTAGATCTGACTTGAGTGGAGAGTATACTTCAGTTGATTTCATTGAATTGCTTACTCTTGACGGCACATTTCATCAAACATTGTGTACTAATAGCTCATAACAAAATGGTGTTGTTGAACAAAAGCATAGGTACATGGTAGAAACTGCTCATTATCTTCTTTTGTCTACCAAAGTTCCTAGTGAATTTTTGGGAGAAGTAGTTCTTGCTGCTGTTGAATTAATTAATAAGATTCTTTTTTTTTTTCACATTTCAGGTTTATCACCCTTTAAAACATTGTATGGGCATCCTCATGATTATTCTTCATTGAGAGTCTTTAATTGTACTTGGTTTATTCTTTGTCCTGAAGTCGAACGTAGGAAGTTGATATCTCGCTCTGCTATCTGTGTTTTTCTTTTTTTTTTTCACATTTCAGGTTTATCACCCTTTAAAACATTGTATGGGCATCCTCATGATTATTCTTCATTGAGAGTCTTTAATTGTACTTGGTTTATTCTTTGTCCTGAAGTCGAACGTAGGAAGTTGATATCTCGCTCTGCTATCTGTGTTTTATTGGGTTATGTGTAAGGACAAAAGAGTTATCATTGTTTTGATCCCATTAGTAAGAAATTATATGTTTCTCGTCATGTCGTGTTTCTTGAGCACATTCCATTCTTTTCTACTTTTGATAATGCTCATGACTTGATTAAAACTAACCTCATTTGTATTGATCCATTCTCTAATGATATTGGTAGACCACCTTTCTATACGTCATGTACTATTGATTCTTCATATCCTACAAGTACACATACGTCGGCTTATGATACCCCTCCTTTCCAAGTATCGCCCAAGATTGTTAATCTAGCTCCCGATCTCTTCATTCCTGGGTATCCTCAATGTATTCATAAGTCCACTCAATTACTTGATTTTGCTTATTCTTTCAGCTACTTGATTTTGCTTATTCTTGTTATTTTGAGTCATTTTGCTAGTTTCTGACCTCCATTCACAAGCTATTTGAACCCTCTTTCTGTAAAAAAGCTATTATGGATCTTTAGCAACATGCTATAGCTGACGAACTCTCTGCCCTACATAACACAGACATTTGAAACTTGGTTCCATTGCCTCTAGATAAATATGCTATTGGTTCTCGTTATGTTTATAAGATTAAAACCAAATTTGATGGTTCAGTTGAGTATTACAAAGCTAGAATGATTGCTAAGGGTTCTAATCAGCAATATGTTCTAGATTATGAAGAGACTTTTGCTCCTGTCGCCAAGATAACCACTGCTCATATGCTTATTGTAGTTGTATCTGTTTGTCAACAAAGTTTCTCAATTAGATGTAAAAAATGCCTTTTTGAATGGAAATCTTTACAATGAGGATTATATGGTTCCTTCTCGTGGCCTTTCTCACTTCCTGAATATAGTTGCAAGTTCAAGAAGACACTTTATGGCTTCAAACAAGCACCTTGCACATGATTTGAAAAATTTTCAACCATTGTTATCTTTCTTAGTTTTACATACAGTCATCATGACTTTGCCCTACTCTTTAGATGTACTTAAACTGGTCACAATTTACTTTTGCTATATGTTAATGATATAATTATTACTGGTGATGATGTTGATGAGATTGCATATTTGAAATCAGAACCGGCTTGTCGTTTTGAAATGAAGGTCTTAGGTGCATTATCTTATTTTTTGGGATCGAAGTTGTTTCTTCTCTTAGAAGTTATCTTCTCTCTTAGTCAAATTATACTATGGACGTTATTAAGTGTACTCGTCTTATTGATACTAAAACTGTTGATACTCCTCCTAAGTTCAACACTCGATATTCACCATCTAATGTTTACCCTTGACCGATCCCACTTTGTATCTTACCATTATTGGGTGTTTGTTTTATCTTACCATCACACGTCCCGATATTGCTTTTACTATTCATATTGTTAGTCAGTTTATTTCAATTCCCACTACAGTTCATTGGGCAGCTGTTGTTCATATTTTGCTCTATCTTCATGGTACTTGTTTTCAAAGTCTTTTGTTTTCATCGACCTCCTTTTTATAGCTCTGTGCATACTCTGATGCTGATTGGGCCAGTAATCCCATTAATTGCAAGTCTACTACTGGTTTTCTGTATATTTTTGGATGATTCTCTTACCTTTTGGAAGAGTAAGAAACAATTGTTATTTTTTGTTCTTCTACTGTGGCAAAGTATTGAGCTGTGGCATTCACTACTACTGAGATTGTGCGATTGCGTTGGTTACTTATAGACATGTGTGTTCCTTCATCTTCTCCAACTCCTATGTATTGGGATAATCAAAGTGCTATTCAAATATCTCACAACTTTATATTCCATAAGTGCACGAAGTATATTGAGATTGACTGTCATTCGATTTGTCATTATCTATAGAATGGTATTGTTTCCCTACCTTTTGTTTCTTCATCATTGCAACTTGTTGACTTCTTTACAAAGTCTCATCCAATTCATGATTTTTGCTTTTTTGATTGACAAACTCTCGTTGCTTCTTGCTCTAACATCGTGAGTTTGCAAAGGGATGATAGCCTTATATAGCATTTTCAATTTATACATAATATTATTTAGTTTCCTTTTAGTGTAGGTTTCCTTGTTTGTTTACTCTTCTTGTGATATATATATCTAATTATTCATTAGAAACCTAATTTTTGGCGGCTCAGTTATTTTCTTGTTCTTTTTCCACATTTGTTCTTCTCCTTTATATGTTTGATTTTTTATGTTTTATTTTATGTTATTAGGGCTTAGTTAACAAAAGTAAACGGATAATAAATTGAAACAAAACTAAAAGTTAACCAGAAGGAGCGGGATGTCGAAGACAGGACCAATGACTAGAGTAAAATCGTAATAAGGTAGCTTAGTGCTTAATTTAAAACAAAAATGTCTAATAACTAGTATAAAAATAAAAAAATATGTTGATTTACTAACAATTTCTTTAACCCTTATTTAAACTTCTTGTGCTCTAAGGATTTTTTATTTTATTGGATTGCGATTGGTCCTGCCTTTTCTATTTCACTATCACGAATTCATGACCTTATATTAAGGAATGGTGCAATCATAACTGAAGATAGGGTCTGTAATGTTAAAATAAATAAATAAATAAATCTGATTTTCCAATTTTTACCCCTGATTTTTGTGTAATTTTTTTCCCATATACAAGTTCTATTTGTTGAAGTTCTTTAATTATTGTATACAAGACGTGCTTTAAAAAATCCTTACTTTTATGATTATTTGTTTTTAGACCTCATCTAGAATTAAAACTAATACCTTACTTTCTTGAATATTTCCTTTGAGAACGATCTATCACATTGTTTATTGTTGTGTTATTTTTTTATTTTGTAGCCTATGCGAGTTCTTCATTTTAGACCCCATTTGATACCCATTTTTTTCAAAATACATTTTTCTCTCTCTTCTTTTCAAACATGCATTTTTATTAGAATAACATTATACGTAAATAAAAAAAAATATTTTTCAACTACACATTTTCCATCAATTTACTATTCTAAAATATATTTTTACATAAAAATGGGGATCAAACACCCCCTTAGTGTTTCAATCATTCCTATTTTTTCCATGTAATTAAAGTAAATCAATTCTAGGAAAGAAATTGATATTACTATCTAATTAATCCACATATTTTTTGGAGGAATCTAAAAAATATTTTATTGTCGGTGTGAAATCAATAAAATCACAAAAATTCATGTAGGCCCAAGTGAATAGTACCAGTAGTCATCTTATGTGACATATACATAACAATTTATTATTTGATACATGTAACAATAAAAAATTACCATATTGATACCTCCAATAACAAACTTCCATGTGCATGCTACGTATAACGACTACCGTTAGTCTTTACTACGAATAACATTACTCCTAATTAAAATATGCTAAATTAATGTGAATTTATGTCTCCTTATATATTATTAATTTATGTAATAATATAAATTTTCAACTTTTCCTAAAAGGCTGTGTTTTATCTGAATCAAACATGCACTAATTAATGTCATCTTAGAATGCCCATGTCATCTTAGAATGCCCAAAAAATGGAAATTCTCTTGCAAAAGTACCCTTTCTATAACTTCATTTCAATTGTCAAATACTTCTTTGGATTTATTGTAAGGCCTTCTTATAGCGTTGATCAATAGGAATATTATAACGTAGAATAATAATGTCACAATTTTTGTAAGAACCATGGGTGATGAAAAAGTCAATCTTATTGGTGCCGCACCAACATCACTGGGGTACAATGCCAAGTAATATTTTTGGACCAAACTCATCATCTCCACCCCGTCTATATTACAAGCTGAGTGAAATTGGTTTTAAGCTTGACACTTGGGATATGATATCGTACTGCAGTTAATTATCAGTTTTCAGTATACGGATCCATAGATTCCATAAGAAGGGAGGAAATCGAAACACACAACAAGGGCATATATATTTAGAACATCCATATCCGGCAAGTAATCATCCATCCATCAACAATTAAGTTTAGCTCCATTGTTTCAGCTAAAGTATGGCAGCCTGCAAGAAAAGAAATTAAGCTGAAAAAGGAATAAAGGAAATTGAAACCACAGTTCATTGATGAAAGGATGATCCTCTTTTAAAATAGCTTATGATATAGGATTAGATCGTATGATAGATATGATTTTAATTTCTTTTTCTCACTTGACATTTTCAGTACTATACATTTCACATTGCTAATTAATAATGAGCTCACCCAAGCTTGAGAGATGTATCTGAGCTATCCGAGTCTTGCGGAGGGCCAATCGAGTTACAAGCATTAGTAATCGACTCTGATGATTGACCTTCCTCCTCGACTATGTTCACAGAATCAGCTGCTATCATATTTTTCTTCCCTCTCGATATCTCCAGCATACAAAAAATAAAATTTTCAATTTTCCCTTAAACTATAAGTGCTCACATGCGTGAAGATGGTGCACATATTCTTTTCAGTTCATACCTGCAGTCTTAGACGCTCATTCTCTTCCATGAGTTCCATTCTCTGCACATTTCATAATTTTAAGACTATATTTACATGAAAATCTGGTGATTCAAACTTATTTAAACCATGTAATTGTACGAAATATTAATGTTAAACACGAAAATAATTAATTAGACGTTTTTTCTCTCCAAAGATCGTATTAACAAGTTTGGTACAGTGACCTTTTGTTGAAGTTGATTGATCTCTTTCATGAATTTTTCATCCTGTAAAATAAAAATACTCTATCAAGGTAAAGAAATTTATGAAATGCAAGTAAAAATTCTACAATTAAGGAATAAATATAACCCAGTACACAATCTTAAGCACTTACCTTTTTCTCTATCACGCGGCTCAACCCGGTTTCAAGTGATCTCTCTAACTTCTGCAACTCTTCAGTACTCAACTCTTGAAGTTCCTCTCCCCTCATGTACCTGATATTTACAAATATCATGCCAAAGTTTTGTGCCGACCATATCAAAAAGAGCTATGGAAGCACAAACCTCAGTTGATGGCTTCTCTCAGCAACTTCTCCGCTTAATCTGGAGTAGTTGATGTCCCCAACTATCTGCTTCGCAATTCCCTCGTTCTTTCAGAAATTAATCGAAAATAAAGTTTCTACTTTCAAGTATGCATGTATTCGTAAGATGACAAAATACAAGAATTATGTATTTAATAAGGTATACTCGACCACATCAGACAATATTAAGAAATGTATAGTAATGTATACCAAACATATATCCAAAGAGCCTAGCATAAGTATGTGAGTGCGAATTCTTATGCATCATTAAATCATATGGAATGATGAAATTTTCATAATTTTTGGTTTTTAGTATTAATATTGTTGAGCCCTAATTAATCCATTTTATCAAACAACACTAATTACCAAGTGATATATCTTCAGTTGCTGAGCTATATTCCATAAAGAATGTTAAAAGAAACAAAATTACCTGAAGTTCAAGAGATGATTGTTCCAACTTTTCAAGGTTCTTTGTGTGCAAACCATGCTTTTCAAGTATGTCCTTCATGCTTTAGAAGACCCCTCGAAAAAAGAGAGAGAAAGGACGCCTCACATAATTGTTCATTGTACTAACAGAGCAGCAAGTACGAAGACAGTTTCAAATCTAAATGCATAGATAGTCAATATTCTTGCGTCGTCAACTACAATGTCCCATAGTTTAGAGGGCCAACAGAGGTATTTTTGAAGACAATACTTAAATGATTACGTCTTAACCTTTTCCTAACGGCTTAAGCATAAGGGGAAGAGTCCAAAAATATCAAATGAGCAATTCAATGTGTTAGTTGAATTTCAAGATTGGGAGCGAGCCTCCATCTCTTTGAGCACATTAAGATAAAATTCCAATTCACTTCAATATTAAAAATAGAGTAATGCTATTCATAACGAAGAATACAGATAATCACCCTACATGGCATATACATGTACGCCAAATAACAAACTGTCATGTGTATACCACATAGTATAGACTACTAGTAGTCATCCTACAAGGTATACACATGACAATTTACATCAAACAACAAATTGCCATGATATATTACATAGAATGGTTAACGATAGTCTTCACTGTGAATGACATTATTCTTAAAGATATTACATAGTATAACAAACAAATATTACCTAGTATGATAAGAGTTCATTCATCTTAACAAGGTAATTAAGGTTAAACCCAAGACAAATTCTCAAACCAACCATGTATGATATAAACACTTAAATACAAATAATATCACAAAACTAGAATACTACAATTACATATCACAGAGCCGTAAGCCGCATATAGAAGTCCCAATCCATATTAACCAATAATCATCTCATCTAAAAGTTCAAGTTATTAGTTATAACATGTATTCATTTATATCTAGCCTTCAACGCCCACAAGTTGAATAGATTCATTTTTTACATCAAACTTGTTGCGCAATTTTTTTTTAATGGGTGGCATGGCCACTTAACCCAAATCTTGTTAGTCACTCTCATATCATTTTAATAATCTCATCTAAAAATCACGTCATTTAAAAGAAACGACATATGCATTAAATCTTATCTTCTACTATTCATGTATATCATTAATTGCCTCTTAGAAAATCAAAATGGGCAACTTAACATGATATGAAATGATAATTCAACCCTAGAGCTTTATTCTCATTAAAGCTAATTACCAGCCAATTAAACAAGCAATATCAGTTCCGGGTCTTAGTTTCTGAACTCATGTCATGCCAAAATAAAACTCAAAATCAATTATTTGTCTATGGCCTTTTGTAATTAGGTGCATGTATTATATTTCATTTACAAAGAAGATAAAATCGTGACCTACACTTGCAAAAATATCGAATAAAATTTTTACTTACCGAAACCAAGATACGCGTAAAAATTTCGACTTATTGAAGCGTAAAAATTAGAAGGAAATGAAATGAAGTAATATATGCGAATGCAAACCTCCTCAAGAGACAATGCTTCTTCCAAAACTAATATAGCACAATATTAATTTTGACAGGTAAACCAGTGCTTGACCTACTCTTCTAGCACCAAAACTATCGAACACAAATCTAAAAATAATTTGGAAATTATTTTGACATAACTTGGAGAAGGAAATAATTAGGAAGGAAGTAAATGGAACTAGGAGGATCCTATGTATAGATTTTCACGTCTCTTCAATTAGTCGAATCTTTTGTCCCAAATTAATTCTAACCATTAGATCACGTCATTTTAGAATGATAGTCTAGATTGTACCTTCTCAGTACATGTCGTGACTCTTTATTATGCACATTTTGCACTTAAAGAGTGACACCCAACCGACATATGTATTGGAGACATTTTCAATTCACACTTAAATTTTATTTATTAAACCATTAATTCCAACATGCATATCTTAGGACAAAAGGATGTCAACTATCTTAACTAGAGAAGTAAATCAAAGACAGGATAAGATCAAAAGAATAAACTCTAACCTATGATTTATTTTATGCTACAGATGCTACCGTCTATATTAGATAGTAACCTGATGTAATATTTGGTGTGTTGAATTGAACAAAATATACTAGGGAAGGTAAAAAAAATAAATTATCAAATTGTGTTATAATGCGTAACAAACATGTTCTATATCGAAAAACACTTGACATATAAGCTAAGAAATATTCCTTTGAAGTTCAATATTAAAGAATTTAAAGTTAAGACACAACTATAGTACGTACTAAATCTCAACATCATTCAAATATAACTCTGCATCCTCGAAATTCTTGGTCTACCATGTGAGCATACATTTGTCAAAAAGAAATCAATTTGGCCTGCTTTTTCAAGAATGTATACTGGTAGTAGGTACAAAAAGCTTATTGATCCATTTCATTAGTTGTGTAGAACTTTAGATAAGGTAGTTATTTAACTCGATATCAAGATTTTATAGAAGAATGAATCCATCTAAGAGCACTAACTATCAAAAATCTTGCACATCCACAAACTTCAATATTACATCGAGGATGAAGAAATATCATACAGAATGGTTGTGAACTCAAGATTGGCCAAATCATTGCCCAAGCTTTTATTATGGTCCTCTCCAACATCAATTAAGCAAATTATCAATTGATAAATTGAGGTAGAAAAACAATGAATATTGCCTTGGCCGATATAAATTAAATTCAATCTCTCCCTAATAGAACCTTCATGATTCAACCATGAATCCCTGTTATTCCTAGAAGACATTCCCTATACTAATATATACTACCCTAAGAGCGCCTTTAAGAAATTCTCCATTTTTAAAGAGCATATTTTACAATTCAAAGAGCATCTATAGATTTAGAGAGCAAAAAATTTTAAATACTTCAACGGCTTCTTTATCTTAAACGCTTAATTTTGAGAGTCAAACGCACCCTCTATTTTAACATGTTAGTTTGAAAAGTCTCTTGGAGAGTATAAGTTTAAGGGTCGGCTCTTTAAAATAGAGAGCATTTCATTTTTAAAAAATCTCTTGAAAATGCTTTAATTCAATATACACTCACATAGAAGATGAGCATCACAATAGGCACCATCTGTCTTCGTTTTTTCAAACAAGATACCATGTAGGCAGAGTATTTATTAATGCTTGAAAGAACTAAAGTAGAAAATATAAAACTTCAGGAGATCAAAATCTCTCGAGGTGCCTCAAGACCAAAATTTTGATTTTGATTCTATACAATATTAAACCAGGATTAAACAAGAGCTTAGCTTGGAACTAGGAAGAAATGCACTAGTAAAAATATTTACAGATCCATTACACATTCTTTTAAGGAAAAAAATTGTTGGAAAATAGTTGAGAAAGTTGATTTTACCAATCTTTGACCAAATATTTGGATGAATCCTGCTACTCAAATTTCGTGAGAAATGGGTTGAACATGTTCTACTCATCTAGTATTTATTTGAAAGTCAAAAACTATTTTCGGACGAATGAGAAATTAGTCAATGAAGTTATGTTAAAAATCATATATTTTTTTAATTAAAACCGAGAAATTTAAAATAAAACTAAGCTCGCGGTGCTATCGTTGTTGTGGGCACTCGAGCCGAATACTAGGTGGTTAGCAAGCAGCCACGTACTTGTGCAACTTTTCGAGAACAGGTTCAAGATTGGGTTGTGTCACTTCATGTGCAACTTTTCGAGAACGGGTTCAAGATTGGGTTGTGTCACTTCATGTGCAACTTTTCAACCTTTATAAGTTGGACCCCTATGTGATGGTTTCATTCACTTTCATTTTATGCAATCAAAGCATATCACACAGCATCATTCTCTCGCCAAAATTCTGCATCAAAATCTTGTTCCATTTCACACAAAAAGGAGTACGAAACTTCATTCAATTTGCTGTTTCTTGAAGTGTTGCCATCATAAGAAGTTGATTATTTTACCTTGGGAGACAATTGTTAAACCTCCGTTGCCACATGTGTGGGGCAAATTTATCATAAAGACAAAGAGTTCAACGGTTGCCTGGATCTTCTTACATTCATTCTTTAAATTGTGTTTGTCCAAAGTTGGTATTTTATTTACTGAGGGTTTAAACTGGTAATGTATGGTAAATTCATATCTCATTTATTACTAAAAAGAAGTCACTTTATCACTTATTATATTCTACAAAAATATCAATGTTTAAGGTAAAACTCAATGGGGCAATTAATCAAATAAATTAGCAAAGTGCATTCTGTCAAAAGCACAAGAAAATGAATATGAAAACTAATTAAGACAACAAACAACTGGGAAGTGATAAGATGAGAATGAATACTCCGTCAAGGAACTACTAAATGTACATAATTGTCTACAATATGATGTTCATAATCACATGCGTTACTTGATTCAACCTTTAATTCAAATCTGACACTTTCACATCAACAATGGGATGATTGGCATCAAATGATTGACATATCACATTATGGATAACATCATTTGCAATAATTATGTACATGTAGACTTTTCCTACTCTCTATTCAGCTGACTGTAATCAGAAGATATTTTTGAACGATTCATCCCTTTCCACCAAACCTGGCCACTCTCTATTTTTTGTGACAATATCAAGCAAGCAGATTATTATATTACTACGAACTGCAGACGAGATTGATAAGGAATACAATCAAACCAGACTCGAGCTTATGGTTTACTAGGAGAATTTGTGGCGGCAGTCATCACTCTTCCACCATGTCTAATCTACTACACCTAGCTATTTATCTACACAAACGGAGAGAGAGTAGAGAGAGTAGAGAGAGAAACCTTGAGCTGGCAAACTCGAAGAGCTTCCCTGTGGAGGAGAAGATGATGAGAGCAACATCAGCATCACAAAGAACTGTAAGTTCTTTAGCTTTCTTTAAGAGTCCTTTTCTTCTTTTGGAGAAAGTAACCTGCCGGGCCGAGGTGTTGTCGATTTTCTTGATCTGAATCTTCTCCCTTGTCATGTTTATACTTTACTACAATAATATAAATAGCCCACCTCTCAAGAACAAACAACAAAACAGCCCAAGAAAGCAAAATATTGTATAGTATTTGTACTAACAAAGAGAATAGGGGTTTCTAGATTTCGGCTAAATAGAGGTTCGGAGAAAGATATTCTTGGAGAAAGGCCGCATGTTTCCAAATATAGAGGGGAATAAACAAGAGAACAAAACCCTAACGAGAAAAAAAGTACTAAAAGCTAAAAAAAGAAAGGGCTGCTTTATTTGGGCATTGTTTTACTGAGATTCGGATTATGAGAGAGAGACAGATGGAGTCTACAAATCAGAGGTTAGGTATTATAAACTAAAAAGAGGGAAAGAGAAAAGGAGGTAGGGTGCAAGAGAAATTATTGACTCTTACCAATTTTGGGGTAGGTTGATTGATGTGGCGTCTTCTGCGTTGGTTCTGCTGCTGATGGACTTATTTGCTCCTTTGAGGATAAAATACTGTTTTCCTTTGTCCAACAGAGAAATTTGCAGGTTCAGTCTCCAATTATTGTTCACATGGTTAACCCTCAGTACACATTTTGTAAAATTAATTATTTTTTAAATTCATTTTAATCACATATTCTTTTAATAAACAACGAAAGGTGATGGTTAAAATATTAGAACTCACTATTTTACCATAGTTTATCACCTTTATTCTCACCTCTCAAGTTCAGTTCCTAAAATTATATTTGTTCGAATTCACTAATTAAATCAGTATATTTTTCTCGAGGTCAAATAAATTCTATTTAGTTGAGTCTGCTTACTATTTATATGAATTTGAATAAAATTGAATTAAACACATTAATCACCTCAGACTTCAACTAAAGATCATAATTATAGTAAAAATGCATTTCCACCTTTTACCCCATGGCCGATTTTTACTACACAATCTAAATTTAAAAATCTCATCTAAATTTAGTACAATTCACAAATTAGGAAATAGTGATCAAGCACTAATAACATAAGTACAATTAATTTATAAATCAATTAAAGGCATTGAAATTTAATGTTAAAATATAAATTACATCGTTTGTCTAATTAATGATTTAATTACTCATCATAAAGAAAAAATACGAGAAAGTATTATAATATATCTCTGAATTTAAAGGAAAAGTGAGAAAAATGAATGTCTTACACTAAAGTCTAAGAATCTATATTCTTCACATTGAAATCTTGAAATACGGTCCCTTAATTCTCTGATCCTCCTTTTTCCCTAATGTGACAAACAATAGGAATAGGCCTTTATACAATGTTTAAATTGCATTGAAAGTTGTGTACACAAAAGTAACAAAATACTCAACTAAAACAACTTAATCCCCGTTTGGTTCTCATTCTCATTCTCTTTCTTATTTTCAATCACAATCTTCCATAAAATAATATTATATTCAAATCAAAAAAATTTCATTCTTTTTTAACCACATATTTAAAAAAAAAAATACTATTTCAACCATTAGAATTTGGAAAGAATGAGGGCCAAATGTGAGCTAAATATATTATGCTCTTGTAGGAATGTGGGTCAACGGCAATTTGCATAATACAACCAGGTACTTCGCTAGTGGACTAAGGCTTGCAAAATGAGGTCAATAGCCTTCCGTTTTCCTCTTTTTTTCATTATAGCACCTTCTTCAAGTTTTTTGTATGATTTTGGTCCTTTGTAGTCCAAGTTTTCAATTTTGATTCTGTTAAGTAATAATCAACCACCAAAGGCGTTTACCCAGGCTTAGTTTCTTCTTTTGCTCAACACCACAACCAAAACCGACCCAAAACAATTTTAAACTCTTCCCACTCACAGTTGCCAAGAAATAGCCACTTAGGAAACCACTAAGGTAGGCAAGAACACAAAGACAATCACAACAAAGGCAGAAGTGGGCAGAGAAGAAGAACCCGTTTTCTTTCAAAGAGGCGCATACAGGTTGGGTTGAGAGAAATATATTCAAGCAATGTGGCCACATAAGGTAAGTAGTATTAGGATAAATAATAGATCAAGTAAGGCCCAACATTAGATAAAATGGGCTACCAAGTGGGTTATCTCTAATTTTGCCATCCAAGCAAGTGAGTTGAACCATGAGCAACACTAAGAGATTTAGGTTACTTTAAATGGTCCAATTAAATTTTTGGTTGGGCCATTTCGATTATGGTGCTAAATTTACCGTTCGGTCATTTGGCCGAGTCAATTGAGAATTAAACCAAATTAAAATTATAGCTTGGGAGGTCGTTTAACAAAATTTGCCCAACGAACTCCATCTTGGTGTCAAAGGACCTGTAAAAAAATATACATATATTTCTCATTAGTGATACCTCTAAAGGAGAAGTGATAAAATTGAAAATCATTTACTTATATCAATGTTTAGAAGATCCTTACAACTTCTAAACTTTACCAGTGGCAACACTTTTTTGCCTATGTCTAAAGGGTTATATTGTGTATAGACTTTTTCAAGTCTTACCACGTCTTGTGATACAATATTTCTAATGAAATATAGTTAACATCAATGTGCTTAGCGCGTTCATGAAAAATAGAATTTTTACATAAATGTATAGAAAACTTACTATCGGAACACACTACTACATATTCATTCAAGATACACAGTTAATAAAGCAGACCTCTAAGCCGCAGAGCCTTTTTAATGTCTTCAATTGTGGCAATATATTCTAACTCTGTCGTGGATAGTGTAACGATATGTTGTAATTGTGATTTTCAACTAACACAAAAATTAGATAATGTAAACACATAAGAGGAAGCCGATTTCCTACCATCCCTATCCCCCGCATAGTCGACGCTACAAAACCCTTCATTTTCATTTTCTCATTACTAGCACCAAACTTTAGACTTATATTACTAGTACCCTTCAAGTACCTCAGTAACCACGTTAGAGCTTCCCAATGTTCAGGACCCAGATTAGACATGTACCTACTGAAAGTACTAACAGCGAAAGCTAAATCCGGTCTAGTGCAAACCATCAAATATATTATGGAACCAATCATATTAGAATGCGGAATCATACTTATGTATTCTACTTCACGTTCATTGCAAGGAGCCTGCTCTTTAGATAATGTAAAGTGATTAGCTAGAGGTAATGTGACATGTTTACAATCATTAATGTGACAGGTTTGCAATCATTCTTATTAAATCTTTTTAACACCTTAGAAATATAAGGAGACTGATGCAGAAACAAATCAGAAATTGACCTATCTCTTTTATTTTTCATGCCTAAGATTCTATTAGCTTTATCTAGGTCCTTCATGTCAAATTTGCCATTTAACATTGTTTTTATGTTATATCCACTTACGCGATAAACAGATCAAGAACATGTCGTCTACATAGAGCAACAAAAACAAATAATTGTTATCAGCATTGTTGTGTTGAAAATATAGACAATGATCAAACTTATTTCTTTGGAATCCTATAGTGAGTACAAATGAATCAAATCTTTTGTACCGCTGTCTATGTTACTACTTTAAGCCATACAAAGACCTTCTAAGAAAACACACATGATCAAATTTTAGTTTATCTTTAAAATCTTTTGATTGATTCATAAATATTTGTTCGTCAAGTTCACCATGTAAAAAAATAGTTTTCACATCAAGTTGTTCAAGTTCCCAGTTAAAATGTGCAACTAATGAAAGTATGACCCTAATAGTAGTGTACTTAACAATTGGTGAAAAAATCTCGTTATAATCAACATCATCTTTTTGTGTGTAACCCTTAGCTACTAATCTAACTTTAAATCTTAAAAGTTTCGAGGCACTGGCACCTTCTTTAACCTTAAACACCTACTTATGATCGACGATTGATTTATTTTTAGGTCTAGGTACTAGCTCTAAAGTTTGATTCTGCTCTAGAGAACTCATCTCTTCCTTCATTATCTTAAACTACTCTTTAGATTGTTCACTATTCATCGCCTTCTCAAAGATTTTTGGTTTTCTATCAACTAACTCTTCATAACTAGCGTGAGCAAAAACTAACTCAGATTCATATCCGAATCTCCTAGGTTCTCTCGTTTATCTTCTCTCTCTATCCCTAATTAAATTGTAGTTAGCTAAAGGACATTCTTCCTCAAGATGCTCATCTATCATTACTTCATCTCTATTTTCCACCTCAAGTTCCTGAACCCGAGTCTTCACCTCATTAGAATTAGTAGGATAAATGTGCTAAGTTTTCCTAACTCCACCTTAAACCGATCTCTCTTCACATGGCTCTATTTCATTCACAGATTCAGGTTCATCCTTAAGGCAAGGCATCTCACCCGCATTAAATGTGACGTCCCTACTCATGATGATCTTAATGCCATTTTGGCTTTTATCCCATAGCTTATAACTCTTAACATTCTTAGGATATCCTAGAAGACACTTTCTAGCTCTAGGTTCAAGCTTTTCCTCACTCTAATGGGAAAAAATAGTACAGCCAAAGATTCTAAGTACAGAGTAATCACTTAGTTTATCAAACCACCTTTCATGAGTGTCGCCATTTAAAGAAGTAGATGGAGTCAAATTAATCAAATAACAAGAAGTCATAACAACTTCACGCCAAATAGCTTTGGGATACCGGAACTTAACATCATGTAACTCACTTTATCAAGTATGATTCTATCCATCCTTTCCGCTACCCCGTTTTGCTGGTGAGCGTAACAAATAGTCTTATACCTTGTTATTCCATTTTCTTTACACATACTGTCAAATTCAGTGTTACAAAACTCTAGGCTATTATCTATTCTTAAGAGTTTAATCCTTTAGCCAATTTGATTTTTTACTTGTTTTTTCCAGTTATTAAAGTTGTGAAAAGTATCAGGTTTACCCTTTAAAAGATAAATCGACACTTTTCTCATGTAATCATCAATAATAGACAAGAAATACTTATTCCCAACCAATGTGGGATTACTAACAAGATCCCACAGATTAGAATACACATATTCAAGCATACCTTTAACTTTATGAATGATAGTGGAGAAAGAAGTTCTATGATGCTTACCAAGCACACGGTGATCACAGAATGACAAATCAGATACACAGTCATTACCAAATGCACATTTTTCATTAAGAGGCTTGAGTCTCTTAATACCTACGGTGCAAGACTTTTATGCCATGTATGTGTGATCAACCTTGATAGAAGAGATAGAGGAGTTTAAACCTCTAATCACTTCTTCGGTAGTAATATAAATATCGCTTTTCTTAGTCCCCTTAATACGGACTAATGCACCCTTAATCATCTTTAATGTTTCATTTCCAATTTTATCGATGAAGTTATCTTTTTCAAGTCTTCCTACTGAAATTAGATTCCTAGACAGTTCAGAAATATATCTAACGTCTTTCAAGGTGTACATAAAGCCAGTGTTAAATTTTTATATTA